GCCCATGGGCCCTTGTCCTTTTGGGCTTTTTCTAATCTCATTGGACTCTACTTATGGGCAAAATATCGGCTTAAAAGCTTTGAATCACTTCGAACGGTTCCCTCGTTAGTTGAAGTTATTGTAGAATATCTCGGATATTCATATTAAAAGTTATTAGACTTTATTACTCGAATTAAACTTGAAATTATTTTAAAAATCAGTATATATCAAGTTATATAAATTAAAAACAGCAACAAAATAAGTATATTATTAGATATATATATATATACATGATAAATGTCGAATTAAGAAATTAAAAAACTATGGATTATTCTAAAATGTAGTTCTAATTAAGAATTATCTATTTTATGGATAAATATTTCGTGTAGATACAACAATTCAATTTATCCTAATAGAATAAAAAATAGGAATAAAATTATATTTTCTCCTATACTAAATGAGGTAATATTAATTACTAATAACTTGAAAATAATAGATTGTTAATAGTTATTTAATTAAATTTATTGTTAAATGAATTTATTTTGATAATTTATAAAATATTAGTTATGTAGTTGTATTATTTTCTTGAATTTTAATCGATTGTTTGACTATGATTATATGTTAATATGATTAGAAAAATTCAAAAATAATTCTTAATCATATATTAATGATTAAAAAAAATTCAAATTGTTTTATTGATTTTTAAATATATAATAGATAATCCATAATATATCTTAATGAACATATTTTAATATTAAATTGTGTTGATAAATATTTTTAATTATTTTTGACATATATTTATTTTTGTTTTTAGTCAAAATTGATAATATCTAATTGAGATAGTTAATTATTATGATTGTTTCATTTAGGAATATTTTATTATATATAATAAAAATTTTTAGATTTTTTTTCATCAACACAATTTCATATCGAAATATCGTCATTTAAGTATTTTCTAGATATACAATCATAGATCGAAAATTGACTAAAATTATTTTAACTTTTAACCACAGATTGACGAGTACGAATGATCTCAAGGTTATATAAGTTATACTGAGTTTTCCTAATCGATATAATATTAATTGATATGACGATGACGATGACGATGAGTTAATATAAATACCATGTTGACTATTATTTCTAATATGAAATGATATTACTTTTGAAATGAAATGAAATGAAATAAATCTTAATGAATGAACAAATAAAATTCCTGTTATAATATATTATCTCAAGATTGAATATAAAGGAATTGTGATGAATATTAATACTAATTATAATAATAAAACAATTATTGACAAATAAACAAAAATTTCATATAAAAAATATTTACGATTAAATAAAACATTAAAATAGTTGTCAGTTATTAAAATTTAATAATAAATATAATTATAATTATTTTTATATTTTCATTGATAAATAAAATTTTGATTTTTTATTTAAAAAAAAGCTTAAAAAATAGTTTAAACTATCTCTATTTATGATGATTCCGTATATAAAATAATATTCATATGAAAAAGTTCAAATTCAATTAGCTTAATATAATATGTCGCAGTAGTAAAAATGAATTTATTTTTCTATTTAAATTTTCTTAAGTTAACTATTTAATTTAAAACTAAAAAATTATTTTATTTTCTCTCAAAATGAATCTATTAATTAATGTTATCAAAATTTGATTTATATTTTGTTTTCATCTTAAAAAGTTTAATATTTGTTAATGATCACATTTAAAGAAAATCATAATACTAATTAATATTTAAAATCAAAATAAATAGTAAAAAATTAAATAATCAATTAAATTAATAATTTATATTTAAATTTTTTATCAACTCATTTATTAAGATATCATTTTCAATTTGATTATATTAACTAATTCAAATTTTCGTAATTCTAAATGTTTATATTGTTTAATTAATGTCTTAGGAAAAGTTAGTTGATAAAATGTGAAACTTATTTTGTTTGATTTAATTAATAATTTTTTATTTTTTGTTAAGGTTTTGACAATTTCCAATTTAGTTGGTGCTGCACCGCTATCAATAAAGGCTGCTGGTGGATTTCCAGATTATGAATTTCCAAGATGGAGTGTCATATTAGGTTGGTTTATTTTTGCTTTTTGTATTCTTCCTATTCCACTCGTCTTCATCATCAATTATATACGTGAATATCGAAGGCTTGCCGCTGAAAAATTAGTATGTAAAATTCTTTATTTTTTTGTGTGTTTTATTCAAAATTAATTGAAGGTAAGTCGTAATTTTGACACCGATGATAATCGTCAGTTGGAAAATGATCATCAGGAAAAGCCTCTTTATTTAGCAGCATTAACAGAAAATAATATGCCTGCAGATAGTTGGGGACCTAGAAGAAGAAAACATCAAACTGGTGTATATTCTCATTTGGCTGTTAGATCAACTAACAAGAATATATCTTCTAAACAACAATTTCGTCAACAATCATCAATAGGAATAAACAAGACTGATACAAAAATGGGTATCACAAATCCAATTTTCAATCCAGATTCAGCAATAAAGAATGATGGTGATGAAAATTAATTAAATTATAAATATTTATTAAAACAAACGATAAATTTATTCGAAAAATAGTTCGATAAATTTTTCACATTATCATTGCTTTGCTTTAAAAACTTGTTATTCAATTTGTTTGTTTTTTATTTTCTTTTGCTTCAATTAGTTTCTTATTCAGTTTCGTTGCATAATAATGTTCATTTTATTCTATAACTTTTTCTCTATAAACAATATTAATAATACTTTTATTTGATCGTGTCAAAAAACAATCGATAACTAATCTATAAACTTTTCAACTATATTATCCTAATATTGATCAAAACAAAACTTTTATATTAAAATATTTTCATATAATTTATCTTGATATGTGACAAGTTTTGTTATTTAAAATCTTAGAAAATTCTATATGCCTTTCAGAAAAAATAATCATTTATATAAAATAGAATTTTATTATGCGAATATCTATAAAATATCGATTAGAGATATTCTTTTCTTAAATATATATATATATATATGTATATTATGAAATTCCATTTTGATTTATGATAACTTTAACTTACTTAACACAATCAATGTAAATGACTTTTCCCGATGCGCTCTTAAAAGTTCATTTAAAATTTCGTCGAAAATTTTATCCTTACGATGAACAAGTTTTTATGTTACATTTTGGTCGATTATTACTTTAGAAAAAAAAAACTCACTCCTGACAAGTTTGTTTATTATATCTATTGTTTATTCTTCCTTAATAAAAATAAAACACAAACAAGCGCAAATAACGAACGAAAGCTATTCAACTATTCGTTTGTTTAAATATAGTATAAATGCTTTATGGAATGGAATATTACAATTCAACTCGATCCACATTGAACATCAACTTTTAGGTAGAATAGAAATCTAGTTGAATTACAGTTTCAATTATAAAAATGAAGAATTTTTCGTATATTATTCTACTTTCTAATTGATAATTTCTAAATTTTATTCCAAAAATGTCTTAACTATAATTTAATCAACAACTTATATAATCTATCAATTTAATAAAGAATTT